GAAATGCAAAACTGCCTGGAGCATTTGGGCTGAGACCATGTGTTAGAGCATGTGGCCGGACTGAAGACACGTGTCCCTCTCACACAATTTTTTCATATTACACTACAGAGTTGTCAATTATAAGAATGTGACTCAAAGTTATCATTAAGCAGACAGTAACAAAACATTTTTTTCCTGGGCTTCTCTCATCTTGACCTAACTAGGTCAGTGGAAAAAGATTCACCTTTTTTGCGCAAGCAGGCTGTGCTTGCCTCTGGGGATAAAGGCAACTTACAACACACTCGCAGGGATTCAGCAGCAGCTATTGTAACATTGCCACAGAGCAGGAGTAAGCATTTTTGCTGCATATCATGTTGCTTAAGGTCTTGTCTGGGTTTGTTATAGATAAGGTCGACAGAGCAGAAAAAATGGAAATCATGAGGGACCATATCACAGGTTTGTCCTTAAGCTTCTCTGAAGGAGAATGCTAGCCTGAAAAGCCATTAGTTAACTACAAATTCATTATGCTGTGCCAAGTCCCCGGCAGATGTGAAACAGAGCTGTCATAGGCTAACTTTAAGACTCAATTAGTGCCCGTTTAATTAGTACATTTAGGACTCCTCTGTGGACAGCAACTCCTTCCATTAAAGGTACAGCATATGATACTTATACAGGCAGCATGAGCCTTTATTACTGCCTCTTTTTGCTTTTCCCACGCAATAAAGAGTCAGGCAAACTAGGAGCACACATATGCTGTTGAACTTCCCTGTCGTCATGTTCTGCAAACTACTGACACCTCGAGGTGCTAAAACAGTTCCTTTATGTTATTTTCCTGCTTAGAGGGCAAGGGGTACTCAGACTTTTTTCTATGTTGAGGTACCAGTGAGACTGTGTGTCAGCTTCCATCATAACCCCTTCCGTACTCCTTGAATTATATCCAGTCTGGGTACCTGTACACAATGCATGTCCTCACGCCTGCCCTACTCTCTCTTCCAACTGTTGGCATGTTCTCTCAAGGTACGTGTGAAAAACAAGAGTGTTGGAAAACAACCTTTCTCGAAAACACTGATGATTGTTCTCCAGCCTCGGGCTACTCCACCAGGCACAGTTAGCTCTTTGTCAGAGACATCAGCTGGACACAGACAAACTGACTGGGGGTTTGTTCTGGGCCTCTCTGCTTCAGAAACAAAAAGAGAAGCCACAGTGGGCTTGTGTTTATCTCCATGTGAACTGCCCCCTTTCACGGCAATGCTCCTCTGTGCTCGTCACTGGGGCAAATTTGTTGAGATTCGCCAAGCTGCTTTGGCTGGGTACGGTTTTTTATAAGGTCTTTTCTATTCTGCAGAAAATAGTTACTAGTATGCACTTGACAGGAACATTAGGGTGAGAGAGGAATGTAATAGCTAACCTTACACAAGCACCTGCCTTTGCAAGCCTGAAGCTCCTGAGACAAGGACATGAAGTAGCACCTTCTGCTTCTCCAAACTGCCCTTCTAATTTCCCTGTTTGACACAAGCAGAACACAGGAAAAACTGAAAGTTTACTCCATAAAATAAAAGCACAAAGCACACAGAGAACTGATTCTACGTTTCAGACCTTAGCACGTTCTAACAGGCTCCACTGGCAAACCACTCTTTACAACCTCCCCACTTCTGCAGCTTTAGCAGTTCCTGTTTGGCACCATTTGGGGTTTTTTTTTGTTCGCCCTTTTGGAACAGGAGTGTATCACACAGCACCCTGATGAAGTTCTCTGCAAACCAAGTGTGTTTCCTATTAAAAGTCATTCCCAGCTACTGACTTCAAATGTCCCAGGGGGTGGGCGACGCTGGGGGTGGAAGCCCAGTGGTAGGGGATGCCGGGGGTGGGTGACGCCGGGGTGGGCTTAGCTGAATTTGGCTGCAAGGAATTTGCACAAAGCATGACAAACACGGGAGGTGTTCTCAGAACTCAAACTGTGAAGTTTAATCTGCCCTATTGTGCTGGTACCTAAATATGTCTGGAACTGGTTAAATGAAGAGTCCAGCTTCAGTCTGCGTATTATAAGCAGGACAGAATTTCACAATGGCTTTGTATAACCCCTTTGTGCAGATATCCGAGGGCTAAGGGGGCTGATTAGTCTCAAATGCCGCTCAAAACAGACAGCCATTATAGAACACTATCTGTCTTTCATAGCATGCCAGCAAAAATCTCGTGAGGATGGTCTCAGCTTAGTTTGCAGCCAGATTTCTACCTACCATTTCACCCCAGGGGTAAAAAGGAAAATCTGTCATTCCGTACCATCGCTCTCATGTAATCTGAATCTGGGGATGGGGGAAGGGAACGTTATTTATGTGAGATTCTTTCTCCCGAGAGCACAAAACCTGCTGCTGACCCTGACATAAGCAGGCACAAAGCCATGGAAACCCGGGGAAGTTACACAAGGGTGTAAAACTATTTATGGAGCCAGATCCCAGACCAGACCCAGCATTGCCTTGTGGGCAGAAGCTGAGGCTCTCGGCATTTGCGTGGGAGCTCCACAGTGAGACCCGGAGCAGAACAAGGTCACAAGCTTCTGGTTTTGGTAACAGCATCCTTCTCCAGTCGGGCTAAGGCATGGGCGGAGTTTGACCAAACTAAAATAAACACCAGCGTGCAGCATCTCGCGAGTATGTGCAGCCTCAGAAAGACAAGAGTGCAATAGCTAGAAGGCTAAGGACAGCTTAAAATGTAAGTATGTCTACTTTCTCTGCTTTCTTAATATAATTAGCCACTTGTGGAACGGAACATTCTGGCCTTGCTTACTGCCTGCATCAGTGTAACCTGCAAAGACACCCCCCATGCTTTCTGTCCCTTTATTCCATGTGTTAACAGCAGCAGAAAAAGCCTAAACAGCCTACAGTCATATTTATATGAATAGGTGGAAAACTCAATTTAAGCTTTCCTGTAGATTTAAAAATTAATTCAATTGTAAAGATCTGGAGCGTTCTTCTCAGCCTGTCCTCCCCCCCAACCCCAAAAGCATCGTTATATGCAATTCAAAAATATTTTGTACGTGCAGTCACTGACAGTACTGGCCACAAAGTTATAAAGACAGAGCTGTGGGAGATCTAACCAGCAGTTAAGATGTGTCACAGAGGGGTTAGAATTGGCAAGCAGAGAGACCAAGCAAGCTCATACAGCAGCTACTACGTGTTGAAACCAAGGAACACAAACTTCTCTGCATTCTAACATACCCGGAGAACACACAGAACAATGTATTTTCTATCAAATTGGAGCAAGGAGAAACAGAAAGTGGAATAACCACAAAGAGGCATCATCTTTGCCTCTGAAATGGCGATGGGTAAAATAATTACTGTAGGAAGTTTCAGTCTAATTGTTCATGTTTGCTTCTAAAAAACCGACTGGACTCCTGCTTTGTTGTGGGTTTGTAAATACTATTGACAAAAAATGTATGAAGAGTGCAACCGCCCAGCTTGGGACTGCACAGCAGTCCCTGGTGACCAGTCCTTCTGGTAAGAACCACTGAAGATGTTTTATCCTCAGGCTGGGACGCGGAGGGGAGCAGCACCCACTGTTACCACTGTCATCATCAGTCTCCCACTGTGTGGTTCTCTCATCTTCCTCTGCTTAGTGGTGACAACTGAAGGAGCTGCTAGAAAAAGCTCAACACGTGAGTGCTCTGTGCACTCACAGCATTTTAAGGTTGTAATTTAAATCAGCACCATCAGGGTTTTTTTGATAAATCCTTTTCAACCTCATAGACCTCAGAGAGAAAACTCTTCGTAGCCACCTCTAAACCAGGGTGCAGTAGTCTATGTCATAAGTGAAACAGGTAACAAAGCAGTCAGGTAGTATAAGGCAGTTCTTGATTTTACAAAAACAGCCACAGTAAAAAATCAGCCATTTGCAAGGGTCATGTAAGGGATGGCATACGTTAAAGACTACCGCTAGGGGTGGGACATGCTGTTGATTGCAGCAGTGCATCTTTAATACTAAAAAACCATGATAAAAGTAGAGGCACAAGTGACAGATTAGTGGCTTCTTGTTGGGTGGACAGCTATAAACAGCTGACGAGGCAGAGAAACCAAAAGTAACCTCAAAGTTTGTTCTGTTACCCAAGAAATAAGCAATTAACTTACAGCCTGAGAAGGTACTATGCCCTAAAAATCAAGACAACTGCTGAATTAACCATGCACTGTCTTCCCAACATTAAGTGCAAAGGACATAACTAGCAGAAGATTTTCTCAGGACGCAGGTTATGCATTGTGATCTGCCTAGTATTGACAAAAAATAATAAATGAAGGCTTCTAAATCTCAACACTCTGAACCATATACAATTGAGTTCAATAGTGATTTTGATTATTTTCACTTGCTTTATTTTGAAATAGCGAGAAGTTGAATGTTTTCAGCTTTTTCCTTCAGCTACCTGGAAAGGTAGCTACATATTCATAAAAATAGAATCTCATCTATTCCCAGCACTCCGGGGTTTATGGCCCTTAAAAAAGAGCAACAGCTATCATAAGAAGCCAAATAGTCATGGGCAGTCAGTACTCCCAGAGTACCCATCAACATCCATACCTTTTCAGCCAGGAACAAACTGGTTGAACTCCGAGTCCTTTTTACTTATTCATTTCCATCAAACTGCCACTTGCAGAATCTCAAACTTTGTTTTCCACCCTGAAGTGAAGGCAGCACATCCTGCAAGACTAACAGTCTCACATCCAGTCTAGAGGCAGCTTCTTGGTCCTGGTTCTATGTCGGTTCCTTCAAGGCTAAAAGAATTTCAGCCCTCATTGAATAACTGGGGCTAAGCAGCAGAAGCCAAGCCTTTCGCAATTTCGGGGACAACTGCCTCTTAGAAAGGACCAGTCTTGTGTTGATCTTTTCCCAGTCACTTTTACTGAAGGTTGGTGACCAGAGGCTGAGAAAAAAGCTCTTTGACAGTGGATAGAAAAGCATTAGTGCTTTCTTCGCCCCATCCATCAGCACGAGAGTGCTGGAAAGAAGCCAATGAACTGTGTCTGCCTTCCAGCTCTGGCAAGATGATCAAATCCTTCAAGCAAACGTTTCTGTCCCTGGATCTGCAGTCCCCTCGGTGGAGCTCGGCAGAAACAATGGTAACTGCTAAAGGGCAGGGGAACGGAGCTCTCTGCAGTGATGGTGCTGCAGAGCTAAGGAGGATTTAGGATTCTGATGTGCATGGGAGGAGCTGGGAAAAGTTGCTATAGACACTGTTAACACTCAATTGTAACAGAGGGGGGAAAAGACAACCTATTTTTAAGTTCTGGGTTGCTCAGCCTAAGGCAGAAGAGCATGGTTCCACAGGGGAGGCATCAAAGTCTGCAGCTACGAGGCTGCCCAGCATTACCTGGCTGCAACAACTTTCACAATGATTGTGTCGGAGTAGCTATTAATCTTTAATATTCACCTCATGGCTAGTCTGACTTTTGCTACCTTTTCAGGCAAAGGATTATGAACTGCGTCAGTACGAGACAGCAAAGTGGGTCAGCACAGTCATTAGGGGCGAGACCCAGAAGGAGGCAATGCGCCAGGGCTTCTGGAAACTCTTCCACTACATCCAAGGGAAGAATGAGAAAGGTACAACATCCCGGTTCTGAACACACAAGAGATAAAGCCCAATAGTTAAGACAGTAGTTGAGCTGCAAGACACAGGAAGTTCCCGTTCCTGATCTAGCTCTTATAACACTATTAGGCCAGTACACTCATGAATGAGGCTGCTCTGGCTTCTGCTTTTAGCCTAAGCCTGCATGACTGCTCGCAGCGTAAGACAACTTTTTGTCCTCTTCTCTAGAAATGCGGATTGATATGACTGTGCCAGTGACGTGCCTGGTAAAATCTGGCTGCACAGACTTCAAGATCTCTTTCTTTGTGCCATTTGAACACCAGGACTCACCACCACAGCCCACTGACTCCGATGTATTTATCGAAGAGCGGAAGGCAGCAGCCATTTTCACCCGGTAAGCAGCACAGCACAGCTTAGGAGGGAAGGTACCTACTAGAAGGGTTCATCTATCAAGTGTCTGGAACTCCTCTTACAGTTGACTTTTTAACTGCGGGTACATTGAGTCTTGATTTCCAGAACCTGAGCGTTTGTTAGGTCTTTCTTATGCTTGGGCCTCTTACTACGAACAAAATGACCAATTTTTGAAACATTCGTTTTTCATCAGACTCTTATCCCACTGAGCAGGTTTCACAGGAACGCAGCCTACAGAATCCTCCTCTTGGGCACACCCTGTGCTACACAACATCTACATCGCTCCTCCAGTCCCCTTTAGCTGGAGTCCCAAACTCCCACACAGCAGTTATTCCAGAAAAAGCACCCAAAGCTACACTTGCCCTCTCTGCATATATTAAAGCCACAGGCAACAATCTGCATCAGCTAACGCTCTCATAATTTAAAAGCATTTTGAAAAATACTTTTAAAGTAGTATACAGAGCCACACAGTTCCTGACAGCTAGTTCTGCTTAAGTTACCTGATAACTAAAAACTGCATCAGAAATGCTCAAGCACTGCATGCTTTGCAAACCTGGTTTCCTTTTATCAAAATAAAAAGCAGAGGCTGAACTCTTAAAAAATAAAAAAATACCCCACACAACAAAACCACTCCCTCTCTTTCACTTCTATCAGGTCCTTCGGTGGATTTGCCTCCCCCGAGAAATACGCTGAGGAAGCTGAAGTCTTGGCCAGAATCTTAAGAAACAGAGGTCAACGATTCCACGAAGACTTCTTTTACACTGCAGGTTATGACAGTCCCTTCAAGCTCTTTAACAGGCACAACGAAGTGTGGTATTTTAAGAAGTGATATGGGGAGGAGGAATATTAAAGGCTACTAATCAGTTCTGAATGAAACATTAATGGCTTTTGCTTTAGTGCAGAAGAGATGTAATTTGCACATGGACAAAGGGTTATGTCTAATTCATTTTCTCTGGGATTAAATACTCTGGCTAAAAATATTTCAGCTTTCTAGAATATTTACATAGACTGTACCTGTTGGATGGGAAAGCTCAGAGGGAACACTAATAATGTATGATAGTTTAAGCATCTTGTTCTACTTCTAATAAGTGCTACAACAACACTTTAAATGCTACAGAGAATGAGTTCTTGAGATGTCACTTTTCCCATACTGGTATCACTCCTGAGACAACATAAAGAATCATTCTTTCAAAATTACACTATTGAAAGGTCCTGTGAGGTCCTGCACCTGGGTCAGGCTAATCCCAAGCACAAATACAAACTGGGCACAGAGTGGGCTGAGAGTAGCCCTGAAGAGAAGGATTTGGGGGTGTTGATAGACGAGAAGCTCAACACAAGCCGGCAGGGCGCTCCTGCAGCCCAGAGGCCAACCTGGTACTGGGATGCATCAAGAGGAGTGTGGTGAGCAGGTCAAGAGAGGGGATTCTCCCCCTTTACTCTGCTCTTGTGAGACCCCACCTCAAATACTGTGTTCTGGTGTCCCCACCACAAGAGGGACATGGATCTGTCGGAACAAGTTCAGAGAGGGCCACAAAGACGATCCAGGGGGGCTAGACCACCTCTGCTGTGAGGACAGGCTGAGGGAACCGAGATTGCCCAGCCTGGAGAAAAGACATAGGGGGACCTTATAACTGCCTTCCACCACCTGAAGGGAACAGAGAGGAAGGCTGCAGAGGGACTTCTTACAAGAGTGTCCAGTAGTAGAACAAGGGGTAATGGATTTAAACTGAAGAATAGGTTTAGACTGGATCTTAGGAAGAAACTCTTCAGTATGAGGGTGGCAAGACTCTGGAA